AAAAATATCTCAGTCTCATCTTTCCAAGAACTAATATATAAGAAGAGAAAATATTGTATAGAGGAGTAAAAAATTAATAATCAGTTTCACTTGAAGCAATTCTAGAAATATAACCTGATTTATGTGACATTTAAATATTGAATCCATGTTTTCAATATATTTCACATAAATTCACTAGAAATCCTTTAGTTAATAATTTTTATTCATTTATATATTTAAAATCAAGTATGACTTCTAAGTGAATATGAAAGAGCTTTGTAAACTATAAAGTATGATATAAAAGTGGGTTATTAATAACAGTAACATTTTGCAAATTGCATTTGTTTCCTATTTTTCAATCCACATTATATTGTTACAACTATTTTTGCAGCAATCTGCATTAAGTAAATAGAATGGTTTGTAAGTCATGAAATCTATTACTCAAAACTCCATCTAAGTGTTAATGTGTTTAGACACTAATTATATTTTTATAATCAATTTTTTAACTTATTCTATATTTTACCCCATATGTAATGATATTGATGTACCCTATCCATTGGTCTAGTTTATACTTTCTTTCCTTTATTATTACTTCAAAACAGGAAGGCAACATTATGCAAGCATCTGGGTCCCAATGCATCTCTGGAAATCTTTCTTAAATTTGTATATTCTCAACACCATTTTCTAAGAACCAGGGATTCACTCAGATTTATACAGAAATCAGGGATCAGTGTAACTGGAATCGAAATCCCTTATAACTTATCCCCTCTTTCAGCATTTTTATCCTTCTTTGAAGCAAAAATAACCATCTGAAAATCACTGAGAGGCATGGTTTACATCTAGCATTTCCATTTGCCTCACACTAAAACTTCATTGTGCAGAGAAAATGTAACTTATTTATTTTATTTACAACCAATCTGGCCTTTTTCTTGATTCCCCACCCTCTCATTGGTGGGGGTTAAAATTAATGTCCAATTCAGTTTAAACCTTAGTCTGATCTAAAATTAAACAGTCACTTTAGAAAATGTTCAGATTCTCTCAGTGAACAGCTTAGTTTCTAGGGCAGCTTCCCCTCCTCCCTGCTTCTCTTCTGGCTGAACTGTAGTTTTAGGGGGGAGAGGGATATGGCTTATGTAGTGTCACGGCAGAGGGAATGTGGGGACCCTCACATGTCAGGTCCTTGACCTCTGTTCTCTATGCTGATATCCATTGCCCACCTGGTTGCACATTGCTGTGTGCATTCAGAGTCAAAGATATGACTAATGTAACTGATGATCCCCATCTCTCTTTTGCTTTATTCAGAGCTGGTACCATTCCTGATAAAGTCAAAGTCACCTTGAGGGACATGGGTGGCTCCATTGGTTAACCATCTGCCTTCAGCTCAGGTCATGATCCCGGGGTCCTGGATTCAAACTCTGCATTGGGCTCCCTGCTCAGTGGGGAGCCTGCTTCTCCCTCTGCTTGCTGCTCCTTTTCCTTATGCTCTCTGTCAAATGGATAAATAAAATCTTTTTTTTAAAAAAAGTCAAAGTCGGGACGCCTTGGTGGCTCAGTAGTTGACTGTCTGCCTTTGGCTCAGGTAGTGATCCTGGGGTCCTGGGATCGAGTCCCACATCAGGTTCCTTGCAGGGAGCCTGCTTCTCTCTCTGACTATGTCTCTGCCTCTCTTTCTCTGTCTCTCATGAGTAAATAAAGAAAATCTTTTTTAAAAAAAGTCAAAGTCACCTCAATTTGTGCTAGCTGTTTACTCCTCATTCTCTGATGCGGGAGAGCTTGGTTCTTGTCTCACAGAGTCAAAGAATGAATCTCACAGGCAAAGGGGAGTAAAGTGATAGAAGTTTATTAAGCAAGGATACAGAGAAACCTCTCAAAAGTGAGAAGGGTCCCAACGGGTTGCCACTGAAGGTTTCTTGGCTAGCCATTTTTTTAAAGATTTTTTTCATATATTTATCCCTGAGAGACACAGAGAAAGAGGCAGAGACATAGGCAGAGGGAGAAGCAGGCTCCCTGCAGGGAACCTGATGTGAGACTCATTCCCAGGACACCCGGATCACACCCTGAGCCAAAGGCAGAGGCTCAACCACTAAGCCACCCAGGTCCCTTTGGCTGGTTTTTTACTTAGAAACTGACTAGGGAGTTTATGGCCTTGAGATTCTTGTTCCATCTTGGGTGAATGGCGTACTGCTTTCTGAGTCTAATGAGTCTCTGTGATTACATTGTAGCCATCAAAGAAAGATATTCCCTAATATTTGGAGCCAGGTAGCCGGATCTACTTCCTTATCTCTGTTTTTGTTGCATCTCAGTGCCCTTGGGATTTATGGGAGCCTGACTCTGGGGCCTCCCCTTTATCTCTGCCTAGCCCTGTCTGTCCCTTACTCATTCCTCCCCCTGGAATAGTAACCTTAACTGCTGTTAGGGAGTGGGACGATGACTGCTCTGGCTTCTTGAGGCTGGAAAAGGACAGTGTGAGGGGTCAGCAATCAGGGTATTCTCAGAGGTAGGTCAAGAGGTCCATGATATGGCTCCCAAGAGATGTTGGAAGGCATGAGGAGACACAGGCTCCAACAAACACAGAAAGAAAGTCAAAATCCAACAATTAGTTCCATTAGTATAATGGCATCTCTGAAATATTGACCCCAGTTTCCAGGCCAATCAAACAATCCGGGAGAGACTCTGATTTTGTCCATTGAGCTCGAATGTCACTTATTAGTTGTGAGATCTTATAATAATTGTTAGTTATATTAAAACAGCACATGTGTGGAAACTCTTTAAAACCTAAGTGATGTTGAAGTAGTAAGTAATCAATAGTTGCCTGATTTTCTAGAAATCCTGCCCTAACTTCACTTAGTTCTTGATTTAGAGCATCTAAGACTTGGGATGTATTGTTTAAGGTTCTGTTGAGCAAACAGTTTTATCTCATGATGTAAGACCTTTCCTAGTGCTGGGAGAGCCATGAGGGAGAGGGCTAAGGCTGCTGTTTCCCCATCTGATATGAGAACCACATTATCATTGCAATTGGAGGGTAAATGAGGCAGTTGTTGTTGATAACGCGTTGCCGGGGGTGAGAAGAACAATAATCCTAGTTTGCCTACAGTATATAACCCTGAGAATCATTTAGGAATGATATAATGGGCCATACTGGCACAAAGTAAGGCCCATTCTCTTGGTAGGTATAAGTCTCTAGTTGGCAACAGGAGTTGTAAGGTAAAGCTGCACTGGGTAGTAGGCTTATTGCAGGCTATGCATATGCAATTGACTGGGACTATATGTTTTAGACGATGCCTGTACTGTAGAGAAGCTTGAAGCTGAGCAAGATTCTTGTTGAGTCGTTAAATTTCTGCCTGGGCAGCCCCCACACCCACTAGGCTATAGAAAAGCAAACTTTGTGGGGAGTTACTGTTAGCAACACAAAACTGAAATTGCCTCATGACATTGAGAGCCATATGTATCTAAAACTTGGATGCAGTCAATAGTCTCATGGGGTTTGGGTTTATAGTGACCTCAGTGGGAAAGGAATTTTGTAATCAATATCGTGAGATCCTTTTTGTATTTTTACACAGGTGTATTTTCCTGCATCTATTAACGTACTCGTAACCAGTTGTATGGTATAATTTTTATTTTGTTTGTGGGATTGATCTGTTAAGTTGGTGAAACTGGAAGTGTCGGCTGTTTTCTGTTCATAAATAACAGCATTTTCCTTTTTCTACATTATGGGGCCAACAGGCAAAGAACAGTTGAACCAGAATTGGAAGTCAAGGGTCCTCCCACAGTTATATTAATGACCTGGGATGTTAAAATAGAACATTCTGTCATAGCCCTTATATGTATATTATTGCATAGTAAAAGTAACCCCAAAATCATGGCTCTTAGATTTACTTGCCTTGTTTTTTGACCAGTAAACGAAAGTCTTCTATAGGCTCACAGGAATAGGTTGGAGGATTACCTGCAGGACTATCGAGGTCTGATGTCCACTTCTTTTTTTTTTAATGTTTAACAATCTTTAAATCAAATGTGAAAGTTCAGTACAAGCCATTTGTAGGGCTTGGGAGTTGATCTTTTAAAAACAAGAATGGAGGAGTGCAACAGAATGATCTTTCCACTTTTCTTCAGAAACTTTCAAGGAAAAGATAGATCATAGGGCCATAAAGATCCATTTAGTCATACCCACTTTCTCCCCTATCAATAGTCTTTCACCTATTCCATAATCTTAATACACATTCCTGAAGGAAGATTTACAGTTCAGCTTGCTTACATAACCATTTAAAAACACTTAGCACCAGCTTGCTTCCTATAATGCAAAACAAATCAAATCATGAAACTACTTCAATATGCATTTCTTCTTTTTATTTTTATTTCTTTAAAGATTTTATTTATTTATTCACGAGAGACACAGAGAGAGGCAGAGGGAGAAACAGGCTCCGTGCAGGAAGCCTGACGCAGGACTAGATCCTGGGTCTCCAGGATCACACCCTGGGCTGAAGGGGGCGCTAAACCAGGGAGCCACCCGGGCTGCCTTCATTTCTTCTTTATAAAACAAGAGGGTACTTATATGTAGAAAGCAATACTTAGCCTACAGATACATTTCCCAGAAATGGCATGTGCCATTCAAAGGCCTAGACATGCTTATGCTTTCAAAGTGCATAGCCTAATATGTATAGAAGCATGAATTGCAAAGTTGAAGATCCATATTATAACTATGTTTTCTATTTATTTGAAGCACAGTAAAAAACAATTGGTACACTTTGGAAATTTAGTGGCACGGGGTACACTGCCATCACTTGAGGGACATTATACAAGTTAAAAAAAAAGGAAATAAAGAAAAAAATTCCCCTGTTTGAAACACTGCATTACATAATTTTACCTGCCCAAACAGACCATTTACAAATATTAAGTCAATAAACTGCTAACATCCATTTAAAGGTAGCTTTTTCTTACTAAAATGCAAGAATTTAAAAGATTGGTATCTAAACAAGAAAAGACAAAAACAAACTGGAATGAAAACCTAGATATCACATCTAAAATTAGGGCTTTTTGTTTGGGCCTTTATACTCTTCTCTCCCTCTACCATATCCTGCTGGAGTTCCAGGCCCCATTCCTCTAGGACCCTGTCCACCCACAGGTTCCACACCTCCCTGCCCAAAGTGCTCAGAAGGCATGTCGCTTCCCATCATGGAACCACTCATGGTTGCTGGTGGGACGCCAGGATTAGCTTCATAACCTATGCCACCACCACCACCTTGAGGTGGAAATTTCTGGCCTCCTGAACCATAGGGATCTCCCATGTTCATTGCTCTTCCACCACCCATTCTCATGTCTCTTTCTCTTGGATCCATGTAGCCCATCCGGCTATAACTTTCCTCTCTTTGGCGTCTCATTTGTTCTTCCATCTCACGCTGCCGAATCATCATCTCTTCTTCCCTTCTACGCCGTTCTTCTTCTTGCTTTAGTTGCATTTCTTTACGTTTCTGCATTTCTTGATTGTGAAGTTCTTCCATGCGTCTTAATTCTTCCTGGCACCTCATCAGATTTTGACGCAAAAGATTTGCCCGATGCTCATGATAGGCATCTTCCATTTCATTTTCCAATTTGTCTTTCGCATCTTTCATGATTTTTTCAACTTGTTCCCTTTGTTGTTTTTCCATTTCATCCAGGGACTTCCATCGCTGAGAATATTCATACTCAAGTGTGCCATACTGGGCAAAACGAGGAGGCATTTCTCTCTCATTTTGGTACATTGGATTCCTCTGTGCAAGTTTTTCAGGAAGGCCATCTTCATCATCTAATTGTTCAAGTGGTTCCACAATGACTGGACGAGGCATTGTTGTCAGTAAGAAAACACCTTTGCCGCATCTTTCAAATGCTTTTCTTGCCGCTGGTTTAGAAGCAAATTCAACAATGCCTTTCCCTGTAGATCTCCCACGATCATCCACAATTACAACAGCCCTTTCAATAGGGCCAAACTGGCTAAAGGCTTCTTCCAAGAGTTCATTGGAAACATAAGGTGAAAGATTTCGCACGGAGAGGGCAGCAGGATGTGTGGCAAAGCGAACCCGAAGCTGCCTACCCCTCATGGGTGTATCATCGAGTTCAGCTTTGGCAATTTCAGCCAGTGCCCTAGATTCAAGTTTAATAAGCCCGAATCCTTTGCCATGGTTGATAAAAACTTCTCCTGGTTCTCCATATTTAGCAAAGAGTCTTTTGAGTTCATCCTCTGTGATATCAGCAGGCAGATTCCCAACAAACAACCGACAACGCTGAGTGTATGTTTTCTCTCCAGGCCTCCTCAGGAGGGACAAGCTGGCTTTGAACCCCTCCGAGTGCACCTCCTCCTCGCTGTGGCTGCCGGGCCCGCCGGCCGGGGGCCCCCGCTGGTGCTGCTGGCCGTAGGGCGGGTGGTGCTGCCCGCCTCCGCGGGGCTTCCCGCGCCCGCCGCCCCGGTGCCACGGCGTGGGGTGGCCGCCGGGAGTACTTAGGCCCGGGCCACCTGGCACTGTGCCGCCTTTCGGGCCTCCGGGGCCTGGGCCCTGTTTAGGCCCCGGGCCCGGGCCCCCTGCAGGTGGAGGCGGCGGGCCCCTGGCCTGGGGCGGGGTGGTGGGGACCCCGCCGCACGGCGGCGCGGGCTGGGGCGCCCGGGGGGGCGCCGAGGTGACGGCGGGCGGCGGGGTGGGGCCCGGGCCCGCAGGGGCTCCCGACGTCAGAGGAGTGGCGGGCCGTGTCGAGCCGGAGGCGGGCGGAGCGCTGCCCTCTCCCGGAGCCGGCCAGGGTCCCTGAGCACCGGCGGGCTTGGACCGGGCCTGTGGCAGCGGCGGCTGCGGCTGGTACGGAGGTGGTGGTGGGATCGGGGGCTTAGAGCTGCCCTGGCCCGGGCCGGGCCCCATGGGTCCCCAGCTCTGATTGAGGCCCATGCCGGGCGGCGGGGAGCGGAAGTCGTGGAGGCCACCGCGGCCGCGGCCTCCTCCGCGCCAGTGGAAGCCGCTGCCGCCCCGGCTCCGGAACGGGTCCCGAGACATGACTGTGATCAGGGAGCAGTCGAGGCAGAAGCGGAGAAGTCGCTCGAGGAAGTAGAAGCCACCTTGCTTCGCACAAGATGGCGGATGACACCGGCCTGATGTCCACTTCTTAATACAGGAATGATGAAGCCAGGATCCAAGACCTGAAATTTTGACAGCAGTTGGAGTAGAGAGAATGACAACATATGGTCCCTCCTAACACTAGATCCCCCGGTTGATATTTGGAGATCCTTTTTCCCCGTGGCTGTTTATTGGGTCTAGCCTGAAGAGCATTATAATTACGAGGTATCACTACAAGTAGGAGAAAACTTGTCTCAAGAGATAAGGGCATCCCCCAGTAAACCATCCAATCCCATCATAAAGTGAGATCATCCACTATCTACACAAGCCCCTAGGTAACCTCATGCAGTGGGGTATGCTCTGGCTCTAAAGGAGCGATTTTGTCATCCCAGCCATACCGAACTGATCAAAGTGCGAGTTGAGTTATATAATTGCTGGGGAATGAATCCCATTTTTTTAGTTGTTTAAATAATCATTATACCCATGGGGTCCTGTTATTATCCCATAGAAAAAAAAGTATAGAGTATCTTGTACATGAGCAATTGTATAGAAATACAAAAACTATTTCTCTGAAGTTTACCTCAAGTAGTCTAGCCTAGGCTAACAGCATTCATTTAAAAACCATCAGAGCTATAATTTACCATCTGCAAGGATGTGTTATTGAAACATAGTTTCCCTCTATAATGACTCTCATTTTTTTTTAAATCAGAGGTAGCCAAATCAGGACTGACCTGTCTGTAAAACGAGTCCACTTTTAACAAACTTGGCCTGATTATTTACATACACTCAGCAAGAATAATGATTGATCATATAGATCTTTTAGAATCTGCTTTGCTGGAACATTTTTATAAGGAATCTCTAGGTTGAGCTTTTAGTAGCCTCACCGGGCCAGAAGCCAAGCCAAGTACTTGCCATCAGACATACCGGTAGATGTGGGTGGATTCCTCTTCACAAGGTCCCCAAAGTATCCTGACGTTCCTGCACCTGCCAGGAAGTGACATTCTTTACTTACCTGGTGAGGCTGCTGGGAACTCTGGAAGCAAGGTATCAGGCCACCATTTCCAAGGGGCCTTGTGACTCCATATTTCATTAAGTCAAACTTAGTTTCTTAAAGCTGTTTGGTCATATCTGAGTCTATGCATGTCTCTCAAATAAGACATTCCAGTCAAACCCTCGGTAAAAGAACCAGTATTTTCAGTGGTGTCCTGTTTAAAAGAGCAGATTCTTATTGAACTTATGCAAAGGACTATGGAAGAAAGAATACTTACTGAGACCTGTTGAATTTCAGAGGGTTCAATTAGAAAAGTCACTGCTTTATTTTATTTACAAATGAATGCTTTATCGCCATTTCTGTAAGTCATAGATATCTTAAGTTTTCTTAACCTGGGAGAGCAAACATCAGAGAACCAGTAGTGTTTCGAACAAGAGTCACAAAACTATAATTATCCTTTTGGTTTACTTAGTGCCATGTTACTATTCTTCTTTAATTTGAATGCAACTTTGTTAGTTCTGGAAATTCTTACCCATTTCAGTTTTCATCTTAAAAATCTCAAAACCTTGTATTTGTCCTAAAGATCCTTTATATGAACCTCCTTGGAGATGAAACTCATTTTCCGAGAGAATGAGAACAACTATAAATGATAAAAACTTAGAAATGGACATGGTTAATAATCAGATATGAGTTCATTATGATGCAATTGAGAAGGAAACTCAGTTATTTCTGTGACACATAACATTTCAGCGATCAAAATATCAAGTGATGACCTTATATTAAAACTTTAGGAATTGCATGTCGTCTCTAGAATAGTTACAGCATTTACCCAAATGTAACCTAAGGCTTATCATTTGCTCAACAGTAATTTCAGAGTAACTTAATATGCCAAATAAAAGGCCTAATGAGTCAAAAAGTCTCCATTTACAATTTAAATCTTGGGAAGTTTGTTAAAACCTTAGAAAGTTTTAAAGCACATTCCTAAATATGATTAGGGATGTTAAATGCCTGATAAAGGCAAAACATAGAAACTAGTTTTTCTGGGCTGGCAAAGAGAAAACAGCTGTTTACATTTTCTTATCAAGAGAAGGCCAACAATTCAAGAAAACTTGTCTTTTCAAACAGAGAGAAAGCAGACTTTTAATCTTATACATGTGTATTTTTAAAAACCCTTCATTTTAATCTTAGTCTATCGTCACCACATCTAAAATACCTTTCCAAAGATTTCCCTTCACAAACCTTCAACAACTTTCTTTTACATGCTGATTTTGTTCCAAGCCATTTTTTTTTCAAACAACCAGTCTCATTTAGGACCAAATTACCTTCTTTTACCTTTAAGAAAAATGCATTTCCATTTATTATATCTTTTTTATATATTTCCACCCTTTCTACATACAGAGTTGTTTCCCTTATTCTCCATCAGTCTTAACTACATTAGCAGGAACTTTAGTCTTCAGTGAAAACTAAGTAGTAACCAATTGTGAACTATTATATCAAAACTCTTTAGAAGACAAATTTATGAATTTATTAAGCATGAAGCATGTTTACCAACAGACTCAAATATCCTTAGTTTCTCTGCAATAAGAAGTTAAAAGCACAAACCTACATCCAGTAATAAATGCTTTAGGACTTTATCCTATTTGGAAAAGACTTAGCTCTCCAGTGAATTCAATCTCAATTACCATCCAAGCTGAACTTTAAAGTTTTCCATTGCCAAAACCTTTGAAGCTATCTTAACAATTACCTATGAAAACTTTGAGACAGACAAGATAAACCATCATTTTAAGTCATCTTTTTGCTAACAAATTGCAACAGAGCTAACCGGAGCTTATTTGACCTCTAGCAAACCTTGATAGAAGAAAAGCTTTATATTTAATGCTGATAACTTTAAATATATGTCTATCATATCAAATGAACTAACTTAAATTAATTTACATACTGAATATATTTCCCCTGGGTCCACTTTTAAAATTCAGTGTGTTCCCCATTTGTCAATTGTTACCTGAGACACTGGTGGGGAAATCTGAAGTGAGCAGTGTATGCAAGTGGCACCCAAAGTGGTGCAGAAACAGGAGCAGGGGGAGGGGAGACAGAAGAGGTGAAGTGCAACCAGAAGGTTGAGAAAAAGGGTTCCCAGTTCTAAAGCTCATTCACTTGGACAAATGAGCAAATGCTATGTTCTTCCACCAATGAGTGGAATTAGGCAGTCCACGTCAGGCAGGATGAGGAACTTCCACCAAACAGAGTTTCGGCAGCTGCTTGGGAATATTCCTTAATGTCCCCATCCTGAACTAGACTAACCACAGTTGGCTCCAATGATACCCATTAACCTGGGAAATAAATGAGGGAGAAGCCCCCACATCTATTAGGAGGAGAGGCAGTGAGAGGGTCATCATCCCCTTTGCTAGGGAGGGGCCTGTGTTTCCTCCAGCAGCCTGGGTTTATTCCGAGGCCTATTTAGATAATTATCCAGTATGTCAGGAGGGAGTTTACCAGCCACCATGTTCAGGCAAACTCATTCTGCAAGAGGCCCTTAGGTGGGGATCCTGATGTAGAGCCCTGTTCTCTGCAGAAGATCTAACCGATTGATCCCATGGAGGCCATACAGTGTTACAGGAGCTCAGACCTTCCCTAAATTTTGCAATCCAAATAGTTTCCAGTGGGTTAAAAGACACCTCAAGGCAGAGGCTTTGGGAACTGAAGAAGAGACCATGCCTTGCCGTGAAGGTCACCCTTTATTTACCTTGCCTTGAAGAACCCACTGTTTTTAACCCATGGAAAATGCTAGACAAGTTTTACAAGGGGGGAATTACTCAATTTTGCAGTACCCAATCCAGAGGGGTCCCTGCACAGGATGGTTTTCTTCCCATCCCGCAATCCTGGTAGGAGTCAGTTACCCCATATCTGTTATAGGGAGGTGACTATGCAGGTGCCCCTACATATTAGCTCTCCCCTATGAACCAAGGTACCCCCTGGTTCACCTACCCAAGGTGAAAGAGTGGCTTAACATCTTGGGTTGAGGAGGGATCAGACTGGTGGGAGCAGTTGCCACTCTTACCCATCCCTGACCTGATCCTCCTTGTCTCATCTGGATTTGCCCTAAAAAGTCTGGCCTAATCATACAGTTTAGCAAGGTTAATAGTTTAAACTATGATATTCTTTTTATTTTATTTTTTTAAAGATTTATTTATTTATTTATTCATGATAGACACAGAGAGAGAGAGAGAGAGAGAGAGAGAGAGAGAGAGGCAGAGACACAGGCAGAGGGTGAAGCAGACTCCATGCACCAGGAACCCAACGTGGGACTCGATCCCGGGACCCCAGGATCACGCCCTGGGCCAAAGGCAGGCGCCAAACCGCTGAGCCACCCAGGGATCCCCTGATATTCTTTTTAGAAGGCAAAGAATGCAAGCGAAATACTTAGGGTGTCTCAGTGGGAGGCGTGTGCTGCTTGTGGGTGAGGCTTCCCCAGGATGTGACCCCCAGGGCCGGTCTCCATCCTTTTACATGTCTCAGAGACCCCAAGGCCACCGAATAGTAACTCAAGGGCAGGTTCAGAGCGCTGGATTGCCAGTCCTATGTGCGCCCTCTGGATGAACCTTAGACTAGCAGGGAATCCTAGAAATGACCTCATTCTTCAGAGCTCTCCTGCCAGAGCCCTCAGCCCTGGGCCCTGTGAACTTGCTTGCATTCCTAGCCCCCTGGTGCCTGAGCAGTCAGGTTAATTATAAGCCAATTTGAATTAAGTTTCCTCGCCTTACCCTTGGTGCTTATTCTGTTCCTACACCTGAGGTCCCATTTGCAAGCATGGCCCCACTATAGGGAAAGTCCCTGAGGCTGGAAAAGCAGGGGAAAAAAAAAGCCAGAGAATGGCAAGAGGAACTGGGTAGGGTTAGGCCAGCATTCCTTTTCTTTCTTTCTTTCTTTCTTTTTTAAGATTTTATTTATT